GCTTCATCGTGTCCTCACTTGCTCAGAGGGGGTTTTCCTTTCCTTCTTTTTTTTTTTCTTGATCTCTGAGCTTTTTTTTCTCAGAGAAAACAAAATCTACAAGGGCAAATCTTTTTTATAGTGAGAAATAAAATCCCCTTAGCGTCTTAAATTGGCCAAAGCTGCCCACATAAGAGCTCGCGGTAACAGGAAGGTTGAGCAGGTGATATATGCTGGGGCTGAATGCAAAGGAGCGTTTTTAGCAGCGGTGGCTCTTTTGTGCCTCCAATGCGTGGAGCTTGGCGTGCCGGCATGCCCGGGGTGCAGGGTGGTCCCCTTCTCTGGGCCCTGCGGGGGTGCAGCCGTGACAGGAAAGCAGAGCTGCTTGGAGTCGCTTCCGCTCGAAGATTATGTCCCGGCAATGAAAGATTGATGGCCGGGGGCTCGGGTTGCCTGTCCGGAGGCGCGGGTGAGGCAGCGTGCTCAGGGAGGCATCCGTTTCAGGGAGCATGTATTATTGATCCGGGAGCGCGGCGGCATCGGGAAGGTTCGGCCGGTGGCGCCTGCGGCTGGGGGGGCCCGTTTGCTTCCCCGCGGCGTGTGCCGTGTCAGCCGGACGGGTTGCCGTGGCAGCGCTGTCACCGCGCACGCCTGTCCCCAGGGTCCGCTCCGCGGAGCGGGCGCCGGGAGAGCGGGCCCGGGAAGCAGAGCTCCCTGCAGCTCGGGAAGGGACCACTGTGCTGGCCCGCGGGCCCCAGGCAGGGCCACCTGCAGGGCCACCCTTCGGCCTCGTCCTCCCCGCTGTGCCGGCAGCTTTAGTGCGTCTGTAGCCTTGTGGGCTGCACCGAGAAATTGTCTGGAGGGCTCCTAGGGAATAACATGTCCCAGCTCCTGCAGGAAAGCAGCTCCCTGGCGATGTGTGTGTGCCTCATATCATTGCCTGTTTCTAGCTCAGCAGGGCCGAGTCGGGGGAAGGAAGGTCGGGAGGTTCTCGAGGTTGCCACGTGGCAACCCCAGCATCAAGGCAGCGGCGCCGCTGGCCCCTCGGGGCAGCGTGGAGGCTCCTTGTCCCCAGGCCTCGCTGGGCTTTGGGCACTGTCAGGGCCAGAGCACTCCCAGTGCCTAGCCAGGACCACGCTGGCTGCTGGTCAGGGCCTGTCGCTCCTGGCTGAAGAACTGATGGAAATAGTTGGCTTTTTGACGCCGTGTTCTTCTCCCCAGCTCCCCCACCCTCTCCTGAGCTGTGTTTCCTAGTGCTGTCACCTTGCTGCTGTCCCCAACCGCTGAGTCCCCAAGCCTTGGCCGCACCAAGCAGCGCGGCCGCATTGAGGCCCTACTCCTGGTTGCTCCTTCAGCAGTGACCTGGCTTTTTACCTCCCTTGGCAAGAGCATGATGTTGTTAAGCCGTGTTGAGCTTGTGACCCAGTGTACCAGCTTCTTCACAGGAAGTGCTGCACCGGCTGTTCCCTGCCCTGTGTCAGTGTAGCTGGCTGTTCTCATCCCAGTGCTGCACTTTGCTTTTCTTCCAATTGAGTTTCATTCTATTTCTCTTTTTTCCAGCCTGTTTCTCCAATCTGCTGAGAGAATGATGAGCTCTCCTCCTTGTCCTCCGGTGCGCATTTGCATCTCTTCTAGCTTCCAGGTTATAGCTGCAGAAATGGCACTGTTGCACTTGTCAGAGCTGTTCTGGGACTGTGGAGTGACCCACAGCAGGCCCTTGGAGATCTTGCTTGACCCAACCTTTAATAACTTCTCGAGCAAGTTATTTGCACCATGTTGGCCTGGTGCTGTAGGATTCACCAAGACCCCCTTTCCTAAACTGGCTTATGGAACTTGAGACACTTAAAAGCTGAGTGGAGCTGAGACCTGTGAACTGCGGTGCTTCTGCACGGCCCGCAGACCTGTTTCTCTGCTGGAAGGAATTAGATCGATCTGAAGCAATATGTTCCCGATAGATGCCTGCTGGCTGTAGCCCAGCTGGTGTTTATGCTTTTGGATTGTCTGATTTGTTCCAGGATTTTCCAGGAACTGATGTTAAGCTGGTGAGTTTCTGGTTACCCCCTTCCCTCCCGCCCCCAAAGGCAGGTGGCTCGTGCGTTGCAGCTCTCTGCTGGGTGGCGCGTCCTTCCCCCGTTGTCGCATCGCGGCCATGCCCGGGCTCGCTGTGCTGCGGGGAGCTCCCAGCCAGCCCTCCGCTCGAGCGGAACCCGCAGCGGAAGGGGTGCTCGGGCTTACATCAGCCCTCCTTTGCCCGCCTCGCCCTTGCTGTCCCGTTGGGGTCCTCCTTCCTCACCTCGCCTGGCTCGCAAAGGTGACAGGAAGCCTCAGGGAGAGAGGGCAGCAGGGCTTGTGGGTTAACCTGGCTGCCTCTTGTGGTCCCCATGTGTTGCAGAAATGTGCCACAAACTGTGGTTCCTGCGAGAAACTGTCAGCTGGAATGAACTTGTGACCTTCCTTCTCGCCTCCATCCTAATTCCCCCACTGGCCCTCAGGACTTCCCTGCCTTGAAACGTCTTGGTTGCGTTTGGCTTTTTTGATCTGCCATCTCCTCTGTGCTGGTTTGCATCCCACTGATAGGAGCTGGGCTTGATTTGATTAAAAAAAAAAAAAAAAGAGAAAACCAAAACCACTGTGTCCCGTGGACTTGCTGGGCAGCAGCCAGGAACGTCCCCCTTGGATTCCCACGCGGCTTCTTCAGCTGTAGCTGGTGCCTCTCGAGCTGCGCGTCTTGCTCTGCGCCTCGCCGTGGGCTGACGTGTCCTCCCCTCCTCCCAGCAGCAGCAGCAGCCCCTGCCCTCCCACATTAACATTTTGGGCACGCGAGCCGCCTCGTCACGGCTGCTGAGCCAATTAACCCGTAATCACGCTCTAATGTTGCGGTTGCCGAGCCGGTGCTGAAAACCTCCCTAGCGGCTTGTTTCTCTTCACTGGGTCGTGATTCTGCATTGCAGCAGACATAAGGGAATTTCAGACACCCACATGATTTTAAGTGTTTTTTATTCTTATTACCATTATTTACTTACCATTTTTACTATTATTTTCAATGAAGTTTAAGTCTGCTTTGAGGTTTTTTGGAAGCTCCCTGTCCCTCAGGACCTTTTGTTTCTTGTACAAGTTCTGCTGTAAATCTCTCCATGAGGAAGACCTCAGCACCTGGCAGTAGCCACAGATGCTGCTGGAAGGAAACAGCCCATCTTGGTGAGAGAAAAAAAGGGGTTAAAAATCCCAGACCAGCTTAGGTAGCAGCTTGGGAGCAAGCCCAGCTCGTGCTGGTGCAGGGAGAAAATGAAGTTCTGAGCAGGTGTATTGGGAGCAGGGAGAGCCATGTGCCTGGATGCTGGTGAAGGAGACGGATTGCTAATGGTGGGGTTGCCCCCCGAATCTTATGTCTTTTGTAAGATACAATTGGGGACCGCCTGGCGCTGTCCCCTCCGTCACTGGTGTGCCGCAGCCAGGGCTCTGCATGCCCTTCACCTGCTGCTGTGTCTGCCGTCCTGCTGAGGTGACGTCTCTGGGCTTGGAAGTGACTTTTGTTGTTTCGGGGAGCTGCTTCTCTCTCCGTTTTTGCCTTGTCCTCCCACAGAAGAAGAAACGTTGGGGTGGGGAAAGTACCAAGCGCTCTGCTCAGGTGTGTTTCACACCGGGGGACAGTCGCAGCTCCGACGGAAGCAGCAGTTTCCTGGGCGGCTCCTCAGGGTGTCCCGTCCCACCTCCTCGCTGCGTCTCCATATGGATGTGGGGGATGCGTCCCCTTGTTTCCTTCTCCCCCAGGGCTGCGTGAGCCGCAGGCCCCGCTCGAGGGCTTTTCCCGTGAGGCACCGCGTGCAGCGGCGCTGGCGGCTCCGGGCCGGCGCGTGTCGCCCGGGCTGGCGGCTCCGGCGCTTTCCCCCTCGGCCTCCCCGCTGCGCGCGCAGCTCCCGGCAGCCCAGGGACGCGGGAGCGAGCGGCGTGCCCAGCTCCGCCGCTCTGCAATGGGTGCAGGTGGAGCGCGCACGCCGAGGAAGGCAGCTCGGGAAGGGTCCCCGGAGGGCCCTGCTCCGGGCGCTGCTGCTCGGTGTTTCCGTGGCCTCCGCGCGGTTGGCAGCGGTTGCCTTGCTCAGCCTCTCATCTCTGTGCAAGGGCCCGGGCTCCCTGGGGAGCTCTGACCCTCTTGATCTTGAGTATCCATGCGAGCCGGGGCATCCCTGGCCTTCCCCAGGGGAGGGCATCCGAGTGGCTTTCCATGGGAGCTGCCGCCTGGGGAATGTCCCTTGTCCTGGGGTTCAGCCTCTCCAGTCTGGATCTCTTCCTGTTGCCTTCGCTCAGGTCCTCCCATAGCATTTCCAACGGGCAGGATGGGTGCACGGCACCAGTGATGCTTTCTGGTAGATTAAGGCTCCAATCCCAGCTCAAGCTTGGCTGTTCCCGACGAGCTGGAGCGATTAAATCTAGCGGGGCAGTCGCTGTTGATCCTGGCATCCGGGAATCCAACCTTGGCAGAGGTTACGTCCCGCTGCCGCAACCTGCAAACAGGCGAATGCCCCGAGCCCTCGCGGATTATCCTTCCCTTCAGAGGTGCTTGGATCTGAGCTGGCGACTCCCGGTTGGACGGATCCTGGCTCCGGGATCCCGGCCGTCGGAGCCGGCCGCCTGTCGTGACATATCCCAGGCAGCCCTCGCGCAAGCCTCGCTGCTCTCTAAAGTTAATAAACTTGTCACTTGAGCTCTGGCCGCCTGCAGCGGCCAAGCCGTCGTCTAAATTTGGGTGATTATGTTCACGCAGGCCAAGTATCAAGTTATCTGGATCACATGTGCTCCCAGCTGCTACTTAACTCTGACGCCTCTGGGCGACGCAGCACTTCACTTCCCCTGATGAAAGGCTAATGAAGAAGCCCCTTGTTTGTTTTTTGTATTATTGTTATTACTTTTATAATAACTAGCTTTTGTGCTAGTGTTTTTTGTTTTACTGAAGTTTTGCTCCTGCCAAGTTCCTCCCCCTGCCAAAGAGCAGCGTCACGCCTGGTTCAGCTGCTCCATCTGACCACGATGTTTCTGGTTCTTTCAGCCACCACGGAATTAAGGGACTTTTTTGCCAAAGCCCGGAATGGTTCCGTTCGCCTCATCAAAGTCATCATCGAGGATGGTAAGTGCCGTTTTTCAGTGCTTTGACCCCTGCTCTGCTGTTTATCCTCTCGGCTTTATGGCCACAGTGGGATGTGGTGCCTCAGAAGAGGACCGCTGTTTGCGGGGCCCCACGGAAGGTCTTGCTGGGACTTTCTGGAAGGGCAGCGGTCCAGAAGGGACCCGTGGGCACCCGTGGGGGCTGACGTGGGCGCAGGGCCAGGCTCCCTGGCGCTGTGGTGCCGCTGGGCTGGCAGAGCCCCGTGTTGGGGCGGCTCGGCCCCGCTGCCCGTGGATGCGGCTGCTTGGTGCGGGGCTCCGGGGGCTTTTCCGTGTCTGAGACGGAGCGCCAGGCCGCAGGGAGCCCTGCAGGCGCTGCAGGAACGTGGGCGGCGCGGGTGGCAGACTCCCGCGGACAC